TAGCTGGGATTACAGGCACGTGCCACCATGCCCAGCTAATTTTTTGTAGTTTTAGTAGAGACGGGGTTTCACCATGTTGACCAGGATGGTCTCGATCTCTTGACCTCGTGATCCACCCCCCTCGGCCTCCCAAAGTGCTGGGATTATAGGCGTGAGCCACCGCGCCCGGCTGATCTCAAACTCTTGACCTCATGATCCGCCCACCTTGGCCTCTCAGTGTTGGGATTACAGGCGTGAGCCTCTGCGCCCGGCGCATTACCACTGTCTTTACAGTGCTGATCATCTGGACCCACACCAAAGACCTGATGCCAGTGTCTACCCTGTAAAGACAATGGTAATTAGCAAAGCCAGGCAGAACAGCTTCCTCCAGAGTTTGGACAGAAAAGTCCAAAGATAACTAGCCAGTTAGGAGTTTCCCTGAACCTTCAGATCCACCCCCTTTTACAATTGTGAGCAAGTCTGTTCCTTAGGCCCAAACGATGTCACCGGCAGGGGTAAAGGGCAGGACTGGAGGCACGTGACCTCTCTACTAAGTGCAGGGAAGGTCGCAAGGCTGGACGGCAATGTGCCTGGCCTACAGGAGAGCCGGGCCGCCCTGACTGCCAAGCGAATGGGACTGCACTTGCCCAGCGCTCTGAGTGCAATGCGCGGTCTGCAATCTGAGAATACTCCCCAGAAAAACGGATCCCTGCCGCCTCATGCCTTCCTGAAAGAGACTGCTACCCCCTCACTTACAGAAAGTCTCCTGGCCCACGCGTATGTTAATCATGATCCACTCCATCGTCCCTCCCAGGACAAAAAAGAAGGGCAGGAACCGGTAGATGCCGAATCGCCGCTTCCCGGGCACCCGCTGCAGAATCCGTCTCACCTGGGCCTTGGGAAACATGCTCGAACGAGGTCGTGGAGAGGGGTACGGCGGAACCACGCACTGGATTGCCCGGACGCAGCCGAGGCCGCCCCGCGCGTTCTCGCCGTGTACGGCTGCCTGGGCGACAAGCGAGCACCGCCCTCCGCCACTGACTGGTACGCGCACGAGTGCCGGAGCTGGGCGGCGACCTTCGAAAGCGAGGGGGAGCCGCCAATCAGAGTACTGCAAGGCGCGCGTGCTCCGTGAGGCCGAGCAGGGCCTGAAGCAGCTGGCGCAGGCGCCTCAGCTCTGGAGGTGGGGCGACCCAAAAGGGAGGGGCAGCCCACGTGGCGTCGGCCCGGCCCCGCCTCCTGGCCTCCCCAGTGCGGGAGAGAGTTTAAGAGACTACCCCCTATTCTGCCACCGCCATTTTTATTCCTAACATGCTGATAGAAGTGATGACCCTCTCTCACGGACTAAGTATGTACAGCACCATATTCCAAAATGCAGTTATTCACTGACTTGCGTTTATTTCGGAGACGTGATTGGTGCCTAGACTTCTAAAGTAACAGAATTTGATATGGAGTGTTGAACGCTGAGCTTTATCAATTATCACAGCAAAAATCTAAGTAAGCGCTGCGTGAGATCCCCAAAAATAACAAAAGCTACCTTGTATGGGGCACTTACCGTTCCACAGGCACCTGTAGGTGCTTTAGTCACAATAATCGCAGAAGAGCACGATAATTAAAGAGCACGAGCTCTGTTGTCAAATCACATTCCTGCTCTATAGGTGCTCCCTTAACCCATGTGTGCCTCAATTCTCTAAGCCGTAAAATGGAGGCCTTCCTTGCTCTGACGCTGTGAGGATTTAGTGCGGTAATATAAATGATGCACTGAACACAGTCCTGGAGCATAGTAACTGATTAACATTAGTTATAATATTCATTATGATGATGATAATGATTGGCAGCACCCTTGTTCTCCACATGTATTCCCGAACATGGTTTTTGTTTGTTTTTTGAGACAGGATCTCACTGTTATCCAGGCTGGAGTGCAGTGGCGCGATCTCGGCTCACTGCAACCTCCTCCCAGGCTCAAGCCATCCTCCCACCGCAGCCTCCCTAGTAGCTGGGACTACAGGCGCACACCACCACATCCAGCTAATTTTTTAATTTTTTGTAGAGACGAGGGATTGCCCAGGCTGGTCTCAAACTCCTGAGCTCAAGAGATCCTCCTGCCTTGGCCTCCCAAAGTGCTGTGATTACAGGCGTGAGCCACCGCGTTCAGTCTGAACGTATATTCTTTACATGTATTCTCTTAACTGAAAATTTGAGAGACTATGCCAGGTAGAAGCAGGGCTCTGGCTTAAGAAAATTCACTTGTCATTGCGTCCTCTCATGCTGCTGTGCTTGCTGAAGATAACTGAAAGGGGCAGTCATCCCATTACCTAGAGATAAGATAACAACTGCAGAAACAGCTTTGAGAAGGGAGACAACCATTAGACAATCTAAGGAAGGTAAATGAAAACTTAGAACCAATGAAACGATTTGACGATATGGACACAAAATATACAAAAGCAGACTGGAGAAGAGAGCAAGCAGGGCCCCAGAAAGGGTCACAGGGCCCGCAGTGAGCAGCCTGAGCTGCCGCCCATACAACCGGCTTTGGAGAGCCAGCCAGGAAGCCTCTTTCTCCTCCAGGTCGACTCCATCCAAGCAGGCACACACACACAGGCTTGATGCTCGCTCCCATTTCTGCAGGTGGTTTTGACGGCTGGACTGCAGGCATCCCCTCTCCTGGAGGAGGTTCACGTGTGGCCAGATTCCCTGCACACCCACTAGCTCACTGGGGCCCTGGGAGCACCACCACCCTCCAGCGCATCCTATGGGCTCATTCTTTACCAGTTCCCGGGCCATGGGCTGCCATACTGTAGGTCTTCAATCAAGGTTCAGTGGAGTTTCGAATATACACACACTCTGAAAGCCAGCGAGGCCACCTCAGGAAACAACGGGCGCCCAGCTGGCTGGCTCCCCTCCGACCTGGGCCACGGGTGCTGGGTCCGCCTCCTCCGGACCCGGCGCACAACCTGGTATGCGTGCGGGCTCAGAATACGGACCTGAGCAAAAGAAATGCGAGTGGAGAGGGGTTCTGAGCAGGAAAGAGGAATTTCATTGGAAAGCCTGGCAACATAGCTAGAAAATACCGCAGCATCTCACGAGGGTCCTGCATTGGGAAATGGGGAGTTGGCAGGTCGGTGCAGCCAGTGACCGCGGCCCATAGCCCTGCAGCGCACGGCCCAGTCACCTGGTTGAGTTAGAAGGGGTCATCCTAGCGGGAGAATAGTGCCTTAGTGGACAGCGGCTGCCCTGCGGGCCCCTCGGTCTCCCCCAGCGTGGGCCTGGCACCGGGGAGCGCGGGAAGGGCTCTTTGTTAGATTAGTGAGTGATCTGGCCCGGGTTCTGGTCATTGGGCAGTTAGTCCAAGCCCGGATTCGGGGGACCAGGACCCCGGGAAAGGAGGGCACAAGGACTAGGGGGAGGGGCGGAGGATCTGGGGTCAGAAACATCTAGAGGCGCAGGGAAGCGGGCGGACCCAGGAGCGGAGAGGAAGGCAGAGGACCAGGGGGTCGGGGGAGACCCGCCGCTCTCCAGCTGTCTCCTCTCGGCGCCTTGGCCGTCCGGAGCCTCTCGGGGACGGCCGCTCTTAGGCCCTCTGACTTCCAGGGCTGGGGTCGGGGAAAGGCGCCGCCATCGCCGGCGTGACGGCCGAAGGGGGGCGCAAAGTCCTCCAGGGCCGCGCCGGAGACTGGGGGAGGGGGCTGGGGAGCCCGTCCCGCCCCACCCCGCCGGGTCCGGGGCCTCCCGCCCCCCGGCCCGAGGGGCGCGCCCATTGGCAGGCAGGGCTCCGCGCGCCGCACCCATTGGCCGGCCGCCGTGAGAAGCACGAGGCCACCGTGGCGGGCTCGCAGTCGGAGGGCGGCGGGCGGCGGGCGGCGGGCGGCGGGAGGGCTAAGGGCAGCGCGGGCTGCGGGCGGCGCGCAGTGGGCATGGCGGGTGCGGGGCTGCGGGCGGCCGCTCGACGCTGGCTACTGTGCGGAGGCCACGGCGGGCCGCGAGCCGCCTCGTCCTCGCCCTCCTGCCCTGGCTGCGGCCCCCCAGGTCCCAGCGCCCCCTGCCCGAGCGCCCCGGCATCCGCCGACCTCAGCGCGCACCTATGGGCTCGTTACCAGGACATGCGGAGACTGGTGCACGGTGGGTGAGCCGGGGCGGGACTTGCGCCGGGGTGTCTTCGCGTGGACGGACGGACTGAGCCCCAGGGCTCCGGAGCCCAAGGGCCGGGCGGCTTTTCGCGAGAGGCTTCTGCCGGTCATCCCGGGGGCCTCTGGGGCGCCTCGACGCCCGGGGGCGGGCGGGAGGTTGGGGCTCCTAGAGCGGCTGTCGGAGTGCTGGGCCCCAGCTGTCTCCCTTCGGGGTTCCGCCAGCAGTCAGGCTGCGGCGGAAACTCCCCCAACCCCTTGTTCTCCGCGGGCTCTTAGTTGGGGCAGGAGAGTGCTGTGGACAAAGCCAGCGAGCGGCGCTAGGCAGAACTGGCTCCTAGGGACGGCCGGACCAACGGGGACAACCGGCTGGACTTCCCAGACACACTTCGATGACGCCCAAGAGGTCCAGCCCCCTCTCAGCCCGGGAAGCGAAGGCTGGGAGGAACCAAATCACCCCCGCCCCCTGGAGCTCAGACCAGGGCTGCACGGGGCACTTAACCTCCCTGCCTGCTCTCTCCCTCTGAGAAACGGCTTGGGGAGGCTGAGTCCCCTTCTCGGAGAGGGCCGACCGGGGCGCAATAGTGAGGCCCCAGAGCTGAGAGTGCTGGACATCGGCCCGCTTGTCTCCGTGGGTCTAGTGGGGCCCTGCTTCTGGAGCAGGCCGATGTGGGTTGTGACCCTATCACTGACCAGCTGGGTGACCCCCTGCAAGCCTCACCCTCTCTCAAACATGAAACGCAGTCTTCTCTCAAACATGAAACGGGGGCCTCTCTGTCTCAGGGTTGGGTGACGACTGGAACCAGGCCAAGTGGGGGCAGGGGAGCTTCCGGAGGAACCCCCAGGGGTGACATGGCTTTCATTGCCTGAAAAGACAAAGTGGCCCTGTCTGGAAGATTCCAACTGGCTAGACGGGGGCTTTCACTACGGCTTTGTAGGGTGGCGGAGACTCACTTCTTGACAAGTGAAGGCAGGATGGTAAAGGCCACTGAGGAATGGTCATTTTGAAGCCTTGGGCATCTGTCCACCCTCGAAGTTCTGGGTTGAGTTTGTGTCTGTGGAGGGGCGGCCCAGCGGTATTTAATAAGTGTTTGCTCTGGGCCTGGAGAAGACCCTCTGAGTGGCCTGAGAAGCCTGCCTTGGAGGTTTCAGGGAGGCGCATGGGGATCTACTGGACATTGGCCTCCTGGGCCTGCCTGCACCTTTGGAGCTTCACAGCCCTCTAAGCTCCTCGTCATGCAAGGAGCAAAGGCATTTCCACTGAGATCCCATGGTGGCCACCCCTGGGCACCAAGGTTCGCTTTGGGCTAATGCCCATGGGCTGAGAGGAGCGCATCAGGTCCCCCAGCCCCCACCCACCTGGTCTCAGCCTAGCTGCCCAACGTCAGCACATTGAGGAGGGGCAGAGTGATTAACGCAGGTGGGGTAACTTGAATGGTGATCAGTCCCGGTGCCTGTTACTGGGCGGTTTGGAGCAAGTGACTTCATCTCCTTGAGCCCCCATTTCTTCCTCTGGCTGATTGGGGAATTAGTGGGACTGCTTCAAAGGATTGGAGTGAGGATTGAACAAGACAACCCTCTAAGGCATCCACAAGTGTGGCTGCTAGAGAGCAGTTGGCCCTGGGACCTGGAGCCATGGGCAGGTGTGGAAGCTAGGGCTGAGGAGAAAGGAGGGCAAGGGCTGGACATGCTGGGTGGGGCACACCCTCAGCTGGCCCCCACACCACCATCACCTGTGGAAGGGAGTGGGCCACTGTTGCCCTGGAGCTAAGGGCAACAGCTAGGTTGCCTAGTCCAGAATAGGCAAACTAGGGTTTCCTAGTCCAGAAATCAGGCCAGGCGGCCAGACCCTGTGGCTATTTACCCATCCTGCTTTGTTCCTGGGAGGACTGTCTGCCCCTTGGCCCCTGGGAATATCCTTAAGGGCAAGGGTGAACGCCTGGACCTAGTCAGG